CTTATGGTTCCTTCTATTGGTTCTAATTCTTCCTTACAACAACACTAATGTGAAAATATGTTTAATAAGAAGGTATATGTATAGCCTATATCAGATTGTGTGCCGTCTTGGGAAGGGAGGAGGAAAAAAATTTAAAACTCAAAAACTTATGGAAGTGATTGTTGATAAATCAAAAAACATTTAAATTATATAATAATTATATAATAATTAAATTATATAATAATTAAATAATAAAAAACATTTAAATTTTTTTTAAAAAACTGTGGGTCATGACCCACATGCTGAAGTGCTGAAGGGGTCATGAGTGGAAAAAGTTTAAGAAACCCTGAATTATAGATAACTCACAGACAGCAGTGGTCAAAGGATATGAAAAGATAGTTCTCAAAAGAATAATTTCAAACAACTAACAACCATAAGGTAGAATGCTCCAGATCATTAATGATAAGAGAAATACCAATCTAAGCTTTTACCTCAAACTTAGAAAATTGGTAAAGATGACAAAAGATGAGCATAGTGTTTGAGGAGTTGTGGAAATACAGGTACACTGATAGAGTTATGAATTGGTCCAATCGTGCTGTAAAACAATTTGGAATTATGTGAAGAAAATAATCAAAATATTCATATCATTTAACCCAGAGAGTCTATTGCTAAGTATATACACCCAACAAGGATAATGATCCTCATAAAATTCCAGGTGGGACAGGAGTTTCAGAAAGTATTTATTTTATTTTATTTTTAATTTATGGAATAAAACAAGCATTTCCATAATATAACACAATAAAAAAAGATGATTGTACATGAAATTGCAAATCTACTTTACACAACTTGCTATTCCTTTCAAATACACAACAAAATTGTGATGTAAATTTCTTTTTTTCTTCCCTCCCCCCCACCCTAGAGATGGCTACCATTAGATCCAAATAGGTACGCATATGTAGAATTATTCTATACACCTTCTATTTATCTGGATGCAGATAACACCTTTCTTCATATGTCCTTTATAGTTAATTTGGGTATTTATAATATTCAAAATAACTTATTCACTCAAGGTTGTTCTCAAAACAATATTGCTGTTACTCTACACAATTTTCTTTTGGTTCTGCTCATTTCACATTATTTCGTGTAAGTCTTTCCATGTTCAAAAGATATAAACAGGGAGTTTTCTGGTGAAGAAATAAAAACAATTTATACTTATATGAAAAAATGCTCTAAATCTTTATTGATTAGAGAAATGCACATTAAAGCAACCTTGAGATATCATTTTACACCTACCAGACTGACTAGAATGATAGAAGGGGTGAGTGACAAATGTTGGAAGGGATATGGAAAAATTGGGACACTAATTCATTGTTGGTGGAATTGTGAACTGATCCAACCATTTTGGAGAGCAATCTGGAATTATGCCCAAAAAAGTTATTAAACTACTTTAACCCAGTAATACCACTACTTGGTCTATTTCCAAAGATAATTAAGGAAAAAAGAAAAGAAGCCATATGTTCTAAAGTGTTTATAACAGTTCTCTTTGTGGTGGCAAAGAACTGGAAATTGTAAGGATGATCATCAATTGGGGAATGATTGAGTAAGTTGTGGTATATGATTGTGATGGAATGCTACTGTACTATGAAAAAGTATTTAGAAATTGATTATCAGACCTCTCACAGAAGACAATAAAATACTGCATAAAACTTTGTTAACAAATGAGGGGTTATCTGGAGGCAAATTATCTAAGCAATGACCTAGAACATAAAACTTTCTGAAGTGTCAGGAGTAGTTACAGATGTTGATAGACCTCCACACTTCACATTAGTTCCATCACAGTGGAACCAAAGGCTTAGATTAGGATTTTTCTCAGGAAAGGATCCATTTTCCCCCTGGGCAAGTAACATGGACTATCTGGGTCAGAAACATGATTAAAGCACTACAACACTGGCAGAATCTGAATGTAGATTGCTAGAAAGCACAGCTTTTAGAGTTGTACAGATTCCAAAGCCTTCGAAACCTAAATCATATTGCAAAGATATTTTCAGAGCCTAGAAAAGCAAAACATTTCACACAAAAAGGGAAAGGCCATTCATATTAGCAGCTTGGGTCAACAATCAACTGCAAAGACTAGTAGAGAAAAAATAAGCAATAAAGTCTGAGGAAGCAAAAGTGGTTAAACTTGAACAAGGAATTGGCGTTCCTAATTTGTCTTGAGTTAATAAAAAAAAAAACTGCCAAAACTTTCATCATTTGCTGGTTGGAGTAAATTGGCTTACATATATTACCATGTTGCAAAAAAAAAATAAAAATAAGAAAAAATTTCTAACTTGTTTTCACTCAGCTCCATCTACTCATGACATCTTCCTGTGAATAAGTCATAGAAACTAGACCATCTCCTGGTTTCCTAGACTCAAAGGTAAGAATCTACAGAGAAAGGAAACAGCAGACAGAATAAGTCCACTGGTCTGGCTCCTCAAAGGCCACAGCCACAGCTGGGCTTGGTGAAGAAGGTATCTCAGCATTTGGGCTGACTCTTCACAAGGTGTAGCACCTCTGCTGAAAGTTAAGCCTATAGACTCCCTGGGATCACTCTTCACTGGGAATCTGTGATATCCACCACCTCCAGCCTTCATATTGGTGATTCCTTAGTGATTTCCTCTACTATCAAAGGATGAAATTATCTTTCTATCAAGGCAAGAATTTATGAACTGCTCTAAAGGGGGAGAGAGTGCCAGAAGATTTACAGATAATCAAGCCTCCTGACTTTGAATTGTTAAAAATTATTCTCATATTAAAGAAGGACTAATCTCTCATATCTCCCATAGAGTGTCTACAGTCAATGTTTAGTCACCAAATGGACAGAATAGGACTGAACAGAGTGGTCCTAGGCCAAGTTCCTAAGGTCTCAATTCCATCAGTTACAAAATATGGTAAGAGATATGAGGAAAAAGCAGTGGAGAGGAGAGAAAGAGAGGGAGAGGAATCAAGAGGGGGAGAAAAAATGAGGGAGAGAAGAAGAAGAAAAGTAGGGAAAGGGAAGAAAGGAGGGAGAGGAGAGAGAGAAGGAAAAGGGAAGAGAGGGAGAGGAGAGAGAGAGGGGGAGAGAGCAGAAGAGCGAGAGAATAAATGGCAAATTGGAACCCTCTGAGCCACAGACATATATGGGAGCCAAATCCATCATGTTTCTTGACCTCCAGGGCCTGCAAATCTAGAGTCTGCTGAAAGAGGACCTCCCCTGGGTGAGATCATTCTCTCTCTCCTGGTTTGAACTTAGATGTTATTTCACTCCCAGCCGAAAAGCTTATTCACTCTTATGTATTTTTTGGTATATTCTAATCTGTGGAACTTCCATTTCTGTTTGCTCTTTTCTTTGGATAAATGTTCTTTTGTTATTACCACTTGTTTCTTTTTTGTCACTAGCATTTGGGAATGGTAGGCTAACCCAGAAAGAATAAGCTAAGGAATGCCTCCCTTTAAGAGTGATCAGAGAAGTGACTTTTGTTCTGAATCTATCAGACCTTTAGAGTGGAGATATTAGAGGACTAGCAGATATATAGCATTGTAGCCTCATGCCCTTCTTTGAGACTGAAGGAGATTGACCAGCCTCAGTGGTCCCAGATTTGCCTGTTCCTTTGCTTCCTCCATCTTATCGTGGTGTATATATAGGCATAGTCCTCTGCCTGCTCGTCCTATAAGTCAGCCAAAGTTCAGATCATATCTATCCATTGCCATCCATGAGCTGCATCTATATTTTTAGACAAAATATATGTATGTATATTTATGTATGTGTGTCTGTATCTACATGTATATATGTATGTGTATATATACTAGGCTAGAAGGTCTATGAGGACAGATACCTTGCTTACTTTATTTTTCTATTTTCCTTGTCACCAAGTACTTGACTCCTAATTGAGTATAAATGAATAAATAAAAATCATTGATTACTTCCTTTATGCCAATCATTGAGCCTTAGTGCTGAGGATTCATATATAAAAAGCAAGGTACCTACTTTGTTGTACAGGGAGATAAGGAAGTAGTGACTAGGAAAGAACGTTTGTGAAGTCAAAGGGATAGAGTGTGGAGACGCTGATTGATAATTGATAGAAACTTAATAGAAATAAGTGTTCAATAAATGTTTATTGACTGAATGAGTGAGTCCCTCTTATAGGAGCTAATGCTGGGCTCATTATTAACAATAGAATCTCAAATACTGTCATTCACAGATCTGTTTGAAGGGGGCTGGAGGTTCCGAGTGAAGATGTCTGCAAACAGAGTAGCTGCAGCAGGGATTCCTGATCTTAATCTTCACTTTGGCCCTGCCCTGGCTTTCCAGGCCATTTGACAATCTCTTCAGATATTCTTGAGGTTGAGGGTAAATGGTCCATAACCACACAAGTTTCTGACTGCAGCTGCAGCAAGGGGAAGAATGCCATTAGAAAGGGGGCTGGGAGGAAAGTGGTCACATGGGGGAGTAAGGTAAAGGTCAGCCCTGTCACTTTAATTTCCAGCAGTCTCTCTGGAGGGTTGTGGGGAAAGAGAAGGAACATTACCACTTTCTTGGCAAAAGGAAGACTAGAATTAGGATTCTGTAGCTTATTAGCAATCTACCTTTTGCATTCCCCTTTTTCCCCACCAAGAAAATCAGTATCTAGGAAAGATAACTGGTAGGGAGGACAAATGAGTCAGACCTGAATTTTACCTCATAAAAAAAAAGGTGAGAAGAAAACAGGACTAGATAGAAAGAAAGATAGATAGATAGAAAAGAGATAAGAAGCAGATGTGAGCAATAAAGAAGGGGTAATAACCTGATCAGAGAAAAGAGAGAAAAGATAGGAGAGTAAAAATAGTTTTTAAAAAATAAGATTTGAAAGAGGAAACTGAGGCAAGCTGTGGTTCATTTAAGTGGAGTGTCTCTTCCCTCAGAGTCCTTAGGTCAAAAAGTATGAGATGGCCCAGGATTTTGAAAGAAGACAGCAAGTAGATACTACATGAATTAGAAGAAATAGAAGGTCAGCACCATGAGCAACCGTCTCCCGTTTGTGACTTTTTCTACTCTGGTGCATCTCTCTCAGGTGAGTCGAAGTGTGAGGAGGAAGATCCCCCTCTTCCACACACATATACACATGATTCTGTGGGGAAGAGAGGTTCAATGTGGGAAAGAAGGTGCATGGAGACAAGTCCTGTTAGGAGAGGACAATAGGACCATGGTGATTTCATTGCAAGATTTTATAAAGGAGTAGCATACGTATATGTCTGAGCATAATGAGAACTGGAGTAAGGAATAGAAGTTAGTCATCTGGGGTTCAGGTGGGGTACAGGAGGGCTTTAGAATGGCTACATGAAGGTCCAAACTTCTCTTTTCCCCAGGATTCATTAAGGATATATTTGTCAGCCTTTTCCTACCGCATAGACCTATACATACTATGTGATACATCAACATCGGGCACACAAGGAGATTGTCTCTCTTTTACACCCCTAGTATGGCCCTGATCCCTACATCAAGTAGACAATCCAAGATCGACAAGATAAAAAAAACTGGAGAATGGATTTGATCAATTACTTGCCTTCTCAATGAAGGGGAAGGGGAAGGAGGGAGGAAGAGAATCTAGAATTCAAAATTTAAGAAAAAGAATGTTAAAATTGTTTTTACATGTAATTGGGAGGAAAATAAAATATAAAAAAAATTAAAGAACGTATTTAATGCTTTAGGTATACTTTGGACTGCTAAGATGTCTTCCATCTGGCTACATATTGCAGGTTAGCCTAGAACTGGAGCAGCTTATTACATGTGAGACAACAAGAAAAAGTTCACTTGGTCACTTCTCCCCAAGAATTCAGCCCAATTCATAAGGAAAAATTTGAGTTGTAACAAGGTTCATTGACAGGAAGATAGATAAAAAGACTGGAAGTAAAATTCTTAGAGGGTTGGGCGCTATCCTTTTTGTTTGCTATTTATGAAATGGAGTTAGTGTTTTACTCACCTTTTATTTTTCTCTTAGGCACTAATATATTTTTGTACCTATTAAACACATTCAACTTTTATTGACCCTCTATGAGAATTCAATTCAATTCAGCACTGGGAAGTCCTGATCATAACAGCTGTGAGCAGGTCCTCCTGGCTGGAGGGTACATGCATTGGGTGATGGGACATCTGGGTAGAACAAAACTTTCAAGGGCAAAGGGGGATAGATTTGAAGATAGAAGAACATGGCCCAGGAAGAATTGTTTGGTACTGGTGTGGTCACATGAATAACAGATAGGTAAAGAGATAGATAGATGGATAGATAGATAGAATAAGCCTTTAATGTGTTCACTTTATATCAGGCATTGTACTAAGCACCAAGGATACACATTTATGTAAGCAAGACAGCCCTGCCCTCAAGGATCTGACATTCTAATGGGAAAAGATAACACATACTGAGGTTTTGGAAAGGGGGGAAGAATTGGAGAGGAGGTGATCAAGAAGTGGTGGGGCAAGATAAGTTAAAAGTTCCCCTGTTGGAGACAGGGGATTGAAGTGAGGAGTCCTAGAGAGAAAGCAGAAACTACATGGCCTGAAGGAAGCAGGTGAAGAGAGAAGAATGTTCAAGAGTAACTTGGAGCCATAGGCAGAAAGCAACTCTGAGCCATGGCAGAAGGAAGTGGGAGCCCCAGTGGGGACCTGAGCTGAAGAAGTGTTTTTGCAGGCACCAGGGGAAGCTGGGCCAGCAGAGAAGCAAGTCCATATTTCCCCTTTGTTGGGTTATCACTCAGGACAATACTGTGAGGCATATGGGACTATGCAGGACCTTGAGGGAAAGGGGCTTGCTGAAAGGGGCTCTCGGGATTTTCTATTACCTTGTGCCCCTTATTGCTCTATGCCCTTGTTAGTCTGAGTGCTTGCAGGTAATCAGAGGGTGAAAGAGAAGGGTTAAAGGGGAGAGGGAAGAAATTGAGGTTTCCTAGAGATTCAATCTTGAGGTACAGGTATGCTTCAGCCAGAGAGACTTGTTGAGATTCAATGAAATATGCCTGGGTCTTCACATCAGACCCTCAGACACCAGTGTTACAATTGACGAAAACAATGTTGCTCATTCAGCAGGAGCCTTTCATACACCTTCCCTTAACCATCACCACCACCATGACTAAAATTGGGAGAAGTTCTGTACCAATTCATTCACACTCCTTTGCCTGCTCCTTGTATTTTTGAGAAGGGAGTGCTTTTGCAACATGAATGAGCAAGTTTGGTGTAAAACCTCTGACCTTAGAACACAGTGAAGCTGATTGGCCCATATATGGATTGAATTTGTGTCTCTGCTCTTACCAGTGGAGAAAACAGGTCCCAGGAGAAGAGGGAGGAAATGACAGGTGGAAGCAGACTGTATAGCAGAACCCGCTCCAATCACCTGTTACTTTCACTTTTTGTAGCTTCTTTGGGTGACGTGTGAAGAGAACTGTGTGAATCCTGAGCAGTAAGTATCTGAACCTCCAAACTCATTTTCCAAGGAGGGAGGGAGGAAGGTTGAACCAGGAGCAGAGGACAAGAAATCGGTAGATATGAGCAATTTCACTGTTTCTATTACTACTGGGATACGCATTAACTGGGAAACCTAGGTGGCACAGCGGATAGAATGAGAGACCTGGAGTCAAGGAGACCTGGGTTAAAATCCAGCCTCAGACACTAATTGTGTGACCCTGGGAAAGTCACTTAACCCTGTTTGCCTCAATTTCCTCATCTGTAAAATGAGCTGGAGAAGGAAACGGCAAACCATTTCAGTATCTTTGCCAAGAAAACCCCAAATGGGATCATAAAGAATTAGACACTACTAAAACGACTCAACAGCAACTGTCAGAAATAAGCCATTCAGAAGCAAAGATGTGCATCACCATTATCCTAAAGATTCCAAATCAGAATTGCTCACAAACTTATTTCCAAAACCAGACACCCCATCCATAAAAGTAGAATTAATCTCAATTAATATGGAATGTAATCATAGTGGTTTGTTATACACTCCTTTATATATGCTTTTGTAAATCATCCATCATTCATGCTGGGCTTTATTTGGGTATAGTCCCTGGCTACAAGCAGATTTACCTGTAGGATTTCTTAAGCACTACCACCACCTCATATATGAATATCATTTCATATTCCTAATGTATCCATTCATTCCTTAAACATTTAGCAAATGCTTAGTGTGAAGGAAGCATGGCATTAGACTTGGAGTCAAGAAGGCCTGAATTCAAATCCTGCCTCTGACACTATAGGATGCTAGGTAGGTTACTACTCTATAGGTTTCAGGAAGCTCCCTAAGACCTATGTAATAATGGGTCAAGGGAATCCTAATGCTAGATGCCTGAGGAGATACGTAAATACAGTTCTGGGTCCTTGCCGTCATAGGCCTTAAACGTATTCACATACATGATCCATTTACTATAATTATTCTGTTATCTTCCTTGATGTAGTGATTCTGTAAGTTTTCTCTGACTTCTCCAGCCCACACTGATCTCTTTCTTCTTTGAACTCCTATTACATTTTTAGTTAAAACTATGCAGTTTAGCATTTAATCATTTTTCTAAATGACAATGTATAGTAGTTCTATTTTCCCAGATACATTGTAAACTCCTTGAAGACAAGAGTTATATCCTTTTCTGATGCTTATTTTCTCTTATGTTAATAATTAAAGAGGATATTTGAGTCACACAACAACCTTGTGGGTTGCTCCCACTTTACAGATGAAGGAATCAACGCACAGTGAGATTGTTAAGTAAAGGAAGTCAGAGAGGTATAGTCATAATAGTGCCCCTTGTAGCATCAGCAGAACTAAATTTAAATTCTCATGCTGCCACTTATTCCCTGGGTGACCTTGAGAAAGTCACTAAACCTCTTTGTGCCTCAATTTCTTTTTTAAAATGAGAGATTTGAACTAGATGAGTTCTAAGGTCCACACATCTAAGATCCTACTGATCCAAGTCAATAAAGTGTCAGAGTTGGGATTTTAATCCAAGTCTTTCTTTTTCTTGCCTTTGGTACTCCATCCCATTATACCTTTACACCATTATACCATTACACCTCCATTCTATCTTTAATTTTGTATAGTTTATATTCCATAAACATTTAATAAGCTGTCATGTGTACAGAACACTGTGCTAGGCTTTGGTGAGAAGCCAAAAAGTTTAGATGAGGTATGATCCCTGCCTTCAGGGAGCTTACAGTCAAGGAAAACATAAAGTGACATACATAATATTAATATAAGCTCACTAGAGAGGTGCAAAACAAAATGGGGAGGAAGTGGTATTTGAGTTGGATTTTAATCGATGAATTAAAAGGGGGGGGGAATGAGAGGAATGCAAAAAGACAGAGAGGGAAAAAGAGTGAGACAGAGGGAAAGAGAGAAGGAGAAAGGGAGTGAGAGGAAGGGAAGGAGAGAGAAGAAAAGAGGAAGAGAGATGGAGATGGAGGGAAAGGGGGGAAGGGAGGAAGAGTCAGAGACAGGAGAGTGTGAGAGAAAGAGAGAGAGAAGAGAGGAAGAGAGGAAGGGAGGGGGGAGAGAGTCAGAGACTGAAACAGAGAGAGAGAGAACATAATAAGGCATATTCTAGGAAGATTAGAGTTTATATGGAGGGCATCAGATTGTAGAGGACCAGTGAAGGAGCCCAGACTTTTGTTGGGGGGCCATAATGAGCTGTTGAAGATTTTTGAGCAGAGACCAGTGCCATGCAAATGAAAATTAGCCTTGAAGTAGAGAAGAGCAAGACAATGAAGCTGCATCTAGGAGAGAGGGGATGCCTGCTAGAACAGGCTCCCAGAGGAGGCAAGGGAAGAAAAAGAAAGACATTAGAGGAAGGATTAACTTTAATGAGGAACAATGATGCTTCTCTGATCAGAGGGAAGAAAGAGAAAATGGGTAATGATGTGGAGAAATAGAGAAGGAAAGCTGGATAAACTCGTGGGAAATAGCCTCCATTTCAGTGAATCAAAAACTAAATCATGTGCTCTAAGCGCAAGGGGTGATAATACAGACGTAGGATCAGAGGTGAGAGAAAAGGGTTTGGAACAGTACCTATGAGGAATGAGACGGGATGTGCTATACACTCAGAAGGTACTAAAGAAATGTTTTCTATTATGCTCACAGTACAGTATCATGCCTAGGACCTAGGCTCAATAGGTACTTGTTAAGTAATCAATTGATTGACCCCATTGTCCTTCTTAACTAAGGTAGCATACAGTGGGAGATATCTTATCATAACCATTGCTGCTTATTAACCAGAAATACAAAAAGCATTACTGAAGAAAGGTATTTGGGAATGTGGCTTGAGGAGAAATATTAAACATGGACAAAATTAAAGTAGCAATGATAGAGAATATAAAATGTTCTGCAGAAGCTATATGAGCCATAAGGTAGGAACTATCATGCCCATATTTAGTTTGTGTGGTCCATAAATGTATGCTGATCAATCAATCAGAAACCAGAGAATGTGAGTGCTTTATGGCTTTACAGAGTACTGTCATATGCCTAATTTCATTTACCTCTTACAATAACCCTGAATAGTAAAATTCTTATTATCTCCATTATACGCATGAGAAAATGAGACCAGGAGAGGCTATCTGGTTTTAAGTTCTGGATAGGGATGGGGTGACTAGATAATGGTAGTACAATGCCTATAGAGCATTAGTTTTGGAGTCAGGGAGACCTATGATAGAATCCTGCCTCAGATAAATAACAGTTGTGTGACTCTGGGTTTTTTTAGGCAATTTGGGTTAAGTGACTTGCCCAGGGTCACACAGCAGTTGTGTGACTCTGGACAAGTCACTTCATCTCTGCCTGACTGGGTTTCCTCATCTATCAATGGATAATAATAGAACCTACCTCTTGGGGTTGTGGCGTGGCTCAAATGAGATAACCTATGTAAAGTGCTTTGCAAACCTTAAAGTGCTGCTAGATAAATTATTATCATCATCATTATCATCATTAGTCTAGAAAAAATCTGGATGCTTCATGGACAACAAGTTCAATATAAATCAATAAGCCAATAAAATTAATAAGATAACCAGTGTGATGTGACAGCAAGAAGGAGTGCCTGAATTAAATCTGGATTTAGAGAGAAATGTTGTACAGAATAAGGGTGGTACTATATTCTTTCCCACTCAGGCCATATCTGGAATGTTGGGTTCCATCTTACACGCTGAATTTGAAAAACATTTGACAAACTGGAGACTGTCCAGAGGGGGATGATCAGCGTTGTGAAACAAAGTGGATTGAAAGAACTGGGAATATGCCCTAGAGAAGAAAAGACTGGGAATGGGGAGGTAGGGGAGATGGATTATGATCTCTGTCATCAAATATTTGAAGGTTATCAAATGAAAGAAGATTAAATTTGTTTTTCATGACTCCAGAGAGAAAATCTAACAACAATGGCTGAGTCAGAGAGGGACAGATCTGAAGTAGACAGTCAGTGTTGTCACAAAGTAGAATGAGGCAGCCTTGAAAGGCAGTAAACTCCTCATCTCTAGAGATCTTCAAACACAGACTGGATGAATTTTGTCAGGCTTAGTTTACAAGGCCTCTGCTGAGATTCTGTGATTCTGATACATTTTCCATACCCGGGTTTTATAAAGATGCAGAAGCCATAAGGAGAAACAGATAAGTTCAGTCACGTGTGATTCTTTGTGACCCCATTTGGGTTTTTCTTGGCAAAGATACTGGAATGGTTTGCCATTTCCTTCTCCAACTCATTTTACAGATGAGGAAACTGAGGCAAATACGGTTAAGCGACTAACCCAAGGTCACACAGCTGGTAAATGTCTGAGGCAAAGTTGGAGATGACTGAGAACCTAGTGAGAACAAGAAGTCAGCAAGCATTTATAAATACTTATTATTGCCAGGTACCGTGCTAACTGCTGAAGATACAAAAGAAAAAAAGGGGGGGGAGGAGGGAATCCCTGCCCTCAAGGAACTCAAAGTCTAATGGGGGGAGGGGAGACAATGTGTAAACAGCTATGTACAACATACAGGCAGGATAATCTGGAGATAATCTCAGAAGGAAAGCACTAGGATGAAGAGAAGGGAAATTGGGAAAATCTTCTTCTAGAAGGTGGGGTGTTAGTTGAGAGTTGAAGGAAGTCAAGAAAGGCAGGAAATGAAAATATAGAGAATTCCAGACATGGGAGATCAGTTCAGTGCATGAAAATGTATGGAGTTGGGGGTGGGAGAGAAATGGAGTATCATGTGTGGGGAAGAGCAAGATGACCAGTGTCACTAGATCATAGAGTATGTGGAAGGAAGTGAAGTATAAGAAGACCAGAAAGGTGGGAAGGGACCAGGTTGTGAAGGACTTTAAAAGTCAAATAAAAGATTCTGTGTTTGATCCTGGGTGTAATATGGAGTCCATTGAATGGAGGCAGGGAGGGATTGACAGACAGATCTATACTTTAGGGAGATCACTTTGATAGTTGAGTGGACAGTTCATAGAAGATGGACTGGAGTGGGGAGAAGTCCAATATCTCCCAAGACAAGAACAATCAGCAGGCTATTAGAATAGTCCAGGCATGCGGTGAGATAAGAGATATTGTTTAGGTAGACTAACAGGCATTGGCAACAGATTAAATATGGGGAGTGAGAGACAGGGAGGAGTTGAGGATGGCACCTATGTTGGGAACCTGGCTGACTGGGAGAATGATAGTGCCTTCAACAGTAATAGGAAAATTAGGAATAAGGGAAGCTTTGTGGGAGGGTGGGGAAGATAATGAGTTCAATTTTGGACATGCCGAGTTTAAGATATCTATGGCATATCCAGTTCAAAGTGTGAAACTGAAGGTAATGATAGAGATTAGGACTGCATAAATCTGAGAATCATCTGCATAGAGATGATAATTGAATCTATGGGTACTGATGAGATCACCAAGTGAAGTAGTATAGAAGGAGAAGACAAGGAGGCTCAGGACAGATCCTTAAGGAAAATCCATGTGTAGCTGTTATGACCTGGGTAAAAATCTAGCAAAGAAGATTAAGAAGATTAGGAAAGAGGTGTCAGACCTCTCTGAGAGGAGAACCTGGAGAGTTTTTATGGAGAAATATGAAGAGAAGAAAGAGGGAGAAAAGGGTTAGTGAGAGTTACAGTGGCTTCAGAGAGGCCAAGAAGGATAAGGACCGAGAAAAACTAAATTTGGTAATTAAGAGATCACTAGTAACTTTGGAGAAAGTAGTTTCAATTGAATGAGATCAGAAGTCAAACTACAGAGTTAAGGGAATTGGAGGAAAGGAAATAGAGGCACTGAGTACAGCAGACTTTCTCAAGCTCAGTGACAAAAAGGAGGAAATATGTAAGAGGATAGCTAGAAGGGATGGTTTCAGTGAGGGTTTTGTTTTGTTTTGTTTTGTTTTGTTTTAATGTAGAAGAGAGATAAGCATGTTTATAGGCAATAAGAAAGCAACCAGTAGACATAGATTTAAAGCTAAGGGGAGAGTGGGAATGATAGAAGAAAAAAATCTTCTGGGAAAAAACTGAAGGAATGTGATCAAGAGTTGATGTAGAGGAGTTAGCCTTAGAAGGAGAAGGGCCACCTGTTCATATGAATGATGAGTGAAGGAGGAAATGGTGGCAGAAGACAGAAGGAACACTCTTTGGTTTTCAAGTGTATAGTAAAGTGAAACCACATTATGAAGTATCACTGCAGATTAAATCAAATTCTAAGGTTTCCTTAACAGAGAACATTAATTACATGGGTTATATCCTTTTTCCCTGATACCAGTATTATAACAAGCTTTCACTATATAACAAACACTATATAAAAAGTTTTTCACAATTTTAACTTTACTACCTGGCCGTTCTGCTTTATCCCCAGCTGTCTGACCACCGACTGGGTCCACCTCTGGTATATCTGGTAAGTTTTCAAAGATAACTCTCCAGCAAGTTACCCATTATCAGCATTTATTGGTCTTAAGCCTAGTTTTCCAGTGCCACATTATGGGAAATAATGCATCTTTATAGCAACTGGGCACGTCATAAAGAACATTTCTCATGTGGTGAGATGTGGTGAGGATGGTAATTCAAATCCTCATTTTATAGGTGAAGAAACTGAAACTCAGAGAGCTTAAGTAATATACTCAGACCCACACAGATAAGTGCTAGAGCTAGGACTTGAAACTAGTTCTCCTAACTCCAAATATATGTTAACAATATTTAAAATGTTCATTCTACTATACCATGTAGGCATAAACACAAAGAACCAACAAGATGGCATTAAACAGAGTTATCTGGCTACCATTATGGCATCTCATTAAACTAAATTTCCTTTCCTGAATACAACCTATGTGACTATAAATGATAAAGCTTTTGATGGAAAAAAAAATGGAATGGTGTCAGGAATTAGTAAACTATTTCCTGAGGGCCAAATCCAACTTGCCACCTGTTTTTTGTAAGGCCTGTGAGCTATGAATGGTTTTTCTATTTTTAAATGCAATAAAACATATGAAAACCATTTTTAGCATGCCTGTACAAAAACAGGCAGGGATAGACACTAGCACTTTTAGTAGTTTAGGAATTAGTAGAGTGATCTGACCCAAAAGATAGTCATTAATGATTTGCTGTAGACTTAGAAGGATATTTTAGGTGCAGTTCACAGAGTCCTGGATCTTGAACTATTTAAAGTTTTTAATCAATGACTTGAATAAAGGTATGCATAGCATGTTTATCAAATTCATAGATGACCATGAAGTTGGGAGGGAAATTAAATCTACCTCCTCCAGCTTGTACATGAAAAGTTAATTTTCTGAACCCAACTTTATAAATTTTATTTTAAAACTTTATATTTTCCCCTATTATATTTAATTTTATTGGATTTGGTCCAAGTCACATCCTGTCGAGATATATATATTTCTTTAATCCTGATTTTGTAATCCAGGCTACCAGCTATCCCTCTAAGCTTTGTGCCGATTGCAATTTTGATAAGAATATCTATCTAAGTCATTGGTAAGAATGTTTCACAGCCCAAGACCAAGTTCAGACTTACAGACTTCCTGAAATACTATCCACTAAGCTATACTACCTCTCTTTCTTATACATTTAATAGAGAGGAGATTAATAGGAATAAACGTAAATCTTAATGCTTGGATTCAAAAAAAATCAATTTAACAAATACAAGATGAACAGGACAGTATGACTAGATAGAAGTTTATCTGCAGAAGAGCTGGTTGGTTGAATGATTTGCAAACTCATTATGAATCAATAGTGAGATGTATGGTACCTAAAAAAGCCAAGGCAACCTTGGGTTTCATTAAGAAAGGCATTGTGTCTAGGAATGGGAAAGTAGTAGTTGTGATGTACTCTTTTCTGGATGGAATGTATTTTGTTAAGTTTGGACACTACAATTCATGAAGGACATTGATTAACTGGAGAGCATCCAGAAGAGGGCTACCAAGATGGTTAAGAGACTTAGAAGATCATTCCATGCAAAAATCCACTAAAGAACCAAAAATATTTTGCCCAGAGTTAGTCACAGTGAGTCTGTCAACAACCATTATTAAGTACTTACTATGTACCAAGAACTGAAATGAGCACCAGGGATACAAAGAAAAGCAAAAAAAAACTTGCTAGATGGATAAGCGGTGAAATGTAGGGAGCACTGGGCCTGGAGTCAGTAAAACTTGTGTTCAAATCCAGTGTCATTTACTAGCGGTGTAACCCTGGGTAAGTCACCTTACCTCGGTTTACCACAGTTTCCTCATCTATAAAAAGAGAACAATAGTAATACCTACTTTACAGGGTCATGTATGAGATAATACTTGTATTAAATTAAGTATTTTATTTAATTAATTAATTTTATTTAATTAAATTTTATTAATTTTACTTATTTTAAATTTAATTACTATTTTATAATATTAAATATTTTATATTTTATAAAAATAAATTAAATTAAATATTTTATCAAAATGAGATAATATTTATAAAGCATTTTATCAACTTTAAAGCATGCTATTATTGTTATAAAAAACATCATCCCTATCCTAAAGGAACTCAAATGCTAATGGGAGAGAAAACACACAAAAAAACTTAAATGTAAGATATATACAGTGTAAATTGGCGATAATCTCAAAAAGAAGGGATAAGCAGTCAGGCATAACAGGAAAGGCTTTTAGCAAAAGGTGGGATTGATGATGAGTTCTGAAGGAAGCCAGGGAAGTCAGGAATGGGGGCAAGCATTTCAGGCACAGATGACATTCAGTAAAAGGGCATGGAATCTGGAGGTAGCCCATCATGTTCAAGAAGCAGTAAGAAGGTCAATGTGACTAGATCATACAGTTTGGTAGGGGGGTGGGGGTGGGGGGAGTAAGATGTAAGAAAACTAGAAAGATCAGAAGGGGTCAGGTTTTGAAGGGCTTTAAAAGCCAAACAGATACTTTTATATTTTATCCTGGAGATAATGGGGAGCCATTTTAACTCTTGATTGGGGGGTGGGAGAGGTGACATAGACTAAGTGAAGGATGGATTGGAGTGGGGAGAGATTTGAGACAAGCAAACCAAGCAGAAGGCTATTGTAATATTCAAGGCATAAGGTGAAGATGGCCTGAACCAGGACTTCAATGTATGGGAATGCACAAAAGAGATGTTGTAGAGGTAGAAAAGCCAGCAATATAATGAAGAGGCAAGAGGTTCAAGAGAAGAGGGCAGTGCAAGGTTGAATTTGGAGCAGACACCAAAGCTCCCACAAGGTCAACCAGAACCAAGAATGGTAACTCTGAGCACACTCCATGAGATGGCCCCTATAGCCAATTAACCCTCGCTATACTTATAACAAATGTTATGATAGAGAGATATTTTCACTTTCAATATTCTAGAGAAAAAACATTTGCTAACATCAGCATTTTCCTCATGGAATTCCCAATGGTTCCTAATGACCCTAATGGTCACGATTTGGGAAATGCTTCTTTACTGTCTTCTTTTCCCAACGCCCATCATCCCATATGGGAAGCTGGTAGCACAGTTTGGATAGAGGGCGGGGCCTGGAATGAGGAAAGCCAAATTTACTCTGAGGATAACAGAAGTTCAATCATTTTGATCCAACACCTCACAGACACACTTTCCCCTCTACTACCTCAGTTTTCTGCAGAGTGGCCTCACTCAGCACAATTCCTACAAAACATTGGGCCTATTTAATTCATGTCTAGCTGTGATGTGTATCCTGGATGAATCCTCATCCCAGTTGCTCTAAGCTGGGTCACGAAGGTCACTCCTAAAGACACCCCTTCCACTTTGGGGGCATTGCTGCTGAGCGGGTGCAAAACTCTGACAGTAAGACACCAGGATGCCACTCTCCCTTCACCTAAAATGAAAGAACAAATGCTGACACAGGCAAACAATCCAGGTCCATTTTCATAGAACCACGGGGTGGCCTCAGTAGGGAAGTTCTAAGGTCTCTCCGCTTCCGGCATGGCTCTCAGTTGAAGCCATCAGCAGAGGGCAAAAGAGCCCCCAAGAGCACTGCTAAAGAGAAAATGACCCAAGAGATTAGGCAGTGGCTGACTCAGTCCCTTTTGAAGACACATACCAGTTCCAAGTCTGCAGTCAATCAAAATGAACCTCTCTTACCCACATAATTATCATACTGGGCTCATAGAAGAATGTCTGCATATGCTCCACAGTCTCTCCCAGTTACCATCATCCCGTGTCATCACAACTGTACCGGAAGCAGTTTCTTCAGCCTCTCCACATGGGCGATGCTATGCCAGGAACCCTGTGCATGTACTATATGCCCGTTGCATGAAGTCCATGATAAATTCCACACGTTACTTTAAAAAACATCCTTTTTTCTTCTTTATTCTGAACCTCCTTCTGTTCTCTTCAAAGCCTTCTACAAAAATGTTTCAAGGACCTTCTTTCAATGGCATCACTATTGCTTATCATGCCTCCAGTCTCTTCCAATTAAAAACAGAGAGAAAATTGTGACAAAGAATATTGAAGTAAGACAAATCCACCCAGAGGCCATGTCCAAAAATGGAGAGCTCTTCTTGCACCCTGAGTCCATCAGCTCTCTGAGAGAGGTGGTAGCATGTTTCACCATAAGTGGAGACATAGTTGGCCATTTCTTTGATCAGAGTTCCTAAGTCTTTTAAAGTTGCTTTTCCTTACAATGTTCTCATTACACAAACTGTTCTTTTTGTGCTCAATTCACTCTGCATCTGTTCCTATTTCCCAAGATTCTTTGTAATTGTCTCTTTCATCACTTCTTACACCACAATAATATTCCTTTACATTCATATGCCATAATTTGTTCAGCCATTCTCTTATTCTTTTCTATATGCCAAATGCAAACCCATCATTGCCTCCTGCTTCCTATGGCATCCCAGGCAAAGGATTTATTTGTTTACTGTCTCCTGCTACCACAAATTTCATGCTCAATATGTTGGAGCCTTAATGAGCCTTTTCCTAAATACTGTTCTTTTTTTGTACACAGGAATTATTGTGGAAACAGTGGTTTTAATCCAGTTCCTAGGAGAGCAGTGGCCAAATCTGTAGTCATAGGAATACAAGTTATTGGAATTGTAGATCCATAACTGATCAGTTCCCAGTAACAAAAGAGCAAGTCAGGAATCCTTCCTACTTCAGACATGTCTCTTCCCTAGCTGAGCCAGGGAACAGAGTATTGGAGAGGCATCTATTTGCATTAATGCTACCATTCTACATGGAAAGAGATACCCAAATAATCTATTTCTAGGAAAGGGAAGGGTTTTATTTCAGTGTAGTATAACATAGTCCCTGGGAGGCTAGATGGTGCAATGGAGTGAGAGTTTTTGTTTCAAATTTTTGTACAGTTTTGTCCAGTGAACCCAAGTTTTATACTGTGGCAGAATGTTTTCTGTTTCTGGGAAGGCATAGAAAGATGTCAGGTAGAACAAAGATGGGCAACCCAAAGAACTCTGATGGTGTAAATGGGTTCATCAAAAGGTTTCTGAATATAGCAGGAAGGAGGAGTTAGTTGACCAAAGGGCAGTAGAACAGAATCTGGTGCCGAGCCTGGAGTCAGGAAGACTCATCTTTCTGAATTCAAATCTGACTTCAGACATTTACTAGCTTGTGGCAAGTCATTTAACCCTGTTTGCCTCAGTTTCCTCATCTGTAAAATGAGCTGGAGAAGGAAATGGCAAACCACTTCAGTATCTTTGTCAAGAAAACTCCAAACTCCAAGAAAACTTACAAAAAATCAGACATGACTGGAAGGACTGAACAACAACAAGAAACATAGTCGCTTATAAATCACTTTCAATTATTCTACCAACAATATCATCACCATGGTGATGTGATTTTGCTCTCTGTCTCACAAAGAATGAAGGCCCTTAGGAAGCTTAAATCAAAGCAATTCTGGGCAGTATATACCCTGTAGGTCTTTCTGGAAAACACAGAAACAAGGAGCAAATGTATACACATTGATGTATAAATTTGGATTTAGAGATAAGACCGCTTACACAGTTCTCCCTTGTACCCCTCCCCTAATAGGCTGCTGGTGGTGATTGGTGGGCTATTCCTTCTGTGTGGCCTGACTTCAGTCTGCCTTCGCTGTTGCATTAGTCGACAGCAGACAGGAGACGAGGTGGGCCCACCACCGTATGAATTGACAGTCATTGCCTTTGACCATGACAGCACCCTTCAGAGCACCATCACTTGTGAGTACCTCCATATACTCATACAGGGGAGCCAAGGGAGGGAAACACTTGAAAGAATGGTTGTCTAAATTGTAGACCTTTGGGACGTTCTGGGCAGATCTGCATTCTCAAGAACACAAAATATTTTTATTCTGCTTGATTTGTAGATATTCTGAGTGCTAGAGAAGATAAGGGAATGGTGAAAGTATGACATGCAAAAGGAAAGATTTTGTTCCTACATTAAGAAACATAAATAATCCAACAATTGGGGGGGGCAGAGTGGATCAAGGTTTTTTTGTATGGTAATGGTAATCTATGAAGAAAGGGTCCTTGTTGTTTCAAAGGCATCACAGAGGATTAATATATCCTTTTAAAATGTGTTACTGGACCACATTGATCCATCTCAACAGTCTGTCTATGGTATCACCAAAAGATATTTTGTGGGAACATTTGGTTGTCCCTCATAACAGATTTAAAGGGTTAATGAGGACCCTACCTTAAAATGTTCTTAACTTCTACTGAAGGTACAGTTATTGATCTATTATGCATGCATTCTTCTGTCTTCATGGGACCTATGTATATTTTCAGTCTATAGCACCTCTGAAGGGTACTACATTTTAAAATTTTACTACAGCTAAATGGCACATTTATATTGCACTGGGCCTGGAATCAGTAAAACCTGAGTTTAAATCCTGCCTCAGACAATTAGTAAGCATGACCCTGTGCAAGTCACTTATCTTCAGTTTGTCTTAGTTTCCTCATCAGCAAAATGGGAAAAATAACAGCACCTACCTCCCAGGATGGTTGCAGAGATAAAATGATATAATATTTCTAAAGTGCTTTACAAAACCTTAAAGTGCTATATAGATGATAACTAGCATTATTATTGTTATTATTACTGTTCACTATATAAAATACACTTTTTCTTTTTCTAAAATCTACATCTTTCAAAATCTGAGGAGTATCCTCTCCCTAGTTTCTTTACTCTGGTATCTGGTGAATAAGTCCATATCTATATTACCCATACCCCTTCATAGTTGTATAGACTTTAATGATATCCCCTTTTAATGAAAGTTGGAAAAAAAATTTTCCTGGCTGAAGACTTACATATTTTAGTCTATCCTCCCTATAACCTCTTTATCATTATAGTGACTCTTTGCTTAGTCAAAGTTCTCACCACCAAAATTCTTGATACTGTTAAATATTTCCTGGTTCTATTGCCCCATCTGCTTTTCTCTTGCAGCCTATGGACCACTGGGTCTTTCCATCTTACTTGCAGCTGAACCCTCCTATACATGTCTCACCCATTAGAATGTTAGCTCCTTGAAAGAAAGAGCTATCTTACTTTTCTATTTGTGACCCCAGTGCTTATCACAGCACTTTACATGTAATTAGCACTTAATAAGAGTTTCTCATTCATTCACTCATTCCTTCTCCAGTTCTATGACTATCTTTCCCCAAATGCAGCGATCAGCACTGGAATATTGATTCCAGGAGTGAAAGTTTTTGTTTCAAGTTTTTGTACAGTTTTGCCCAGTGGAAGCTGGAGAACCCAAGTTTTATACTATGGCAGAATGTTTTCTGTTTCCTGGAAGGCACAGAAAGATGTCAGGTAGAACAAAGATGGGCAATCCAAAGAACTCTGATGGTGTAAATGGGTTCATCAAAAAGTTTCTGAATATGGCAGGAAGGCGGAGTTAGTTGGCCAAAGGGCAGTAGGACCAGAATCTTCAAAGCAGAGAAGGATAACTCCAGGGCATTAAGGCAAATGGGTTTTCCAGGAGCGGAAGAAGATGCCTCTTGATGAGGAATCTAGGGATTTTCGGAGGGGTTGTGGGAATGGGTGTGAGGGTCGGCGGATTGGCGGTCATACTGTGCATATTTGCAGATAACCTAATGCATTGAGGTCAGGGTCTGATTTTCAAGCATGGCTCCCATGCTCTATCCTCCTCTTTCTTTCTCTCTGACAGCTCTTCAATCGGTCTTTGGATCAGCAGCCCGCAGGATCTTCGCAGTCGCTCACTCTCACAACCCCGTGCAGACACCTTCATTGTCCCCGAGCCTGGAGCCACTCCCAGGCTATGAGGAAGTTCTGCACATGAGCCGCTTCACAGTGTCCAAGTGTGGGCAGAAAGCTTCTGATCTGGCTCCGGTGCCTGAAGAGAAGCAACTGCCCCATGGGGAGAAGGACGCTCCCCAGCAACAGATAGAGGACACCCCCAATTGACAGTCGCCTAGGGTGTGAGAACCAAGTGTAGCCCTCGGAGTACTCCTCTCTCACACGTGGAGTCCCTAGGATAACTATCTCAGGTTCAAGGGAGGATCTGTAATCACTCAAAACTAGTTCTTGAGTCTCTTCCAATGTGTTTACTTTTTTCTCCAGTCAGCCGGAGGATACAATTTGTTCAAAGCAAAGGCATTTAATGAAACAACACAGTAATAAAAAATCAAAATAGAACATTCCTTCCCATAAACCTGGAGAACACTCTCACAAACATGCACACTGGTGTGGTGGTGGGAAATGGGCACATGCTTAGAGAATGTGTTTGCATGTGCCACACACGGAGGACCAAGTCATCTCCAAGGCTGCTGGACCACCAGCGTCTTCTGATGAAGTCATCATGTTGTTCTCATTGGTCTTATTTCCTGACTGGTGTAGAATCCCCACTGGGTATATTGCTCTACTAGTTTCTGATATTTTTACAATGACTGGTGGGCATGTAGTTTCACCTGGGGACTGCTTTTCTGATTTCCAGTGATCTAACATTGACTTCTGAGTATGATAATCTCTGCAGAACAATGCATCCTGCTACTAGTTTCTGGGCTTCTCTTTAGGGTCACTTGTTGGCCATCTCAACTCTCACTTACAGTATAGTGGCTTGAATCGCCCCCTACTAAGGGCATACCCATGGAGCTTTAGTCAAAGCCACCACACCCAACTAGCGAAAGGCAAACAGAGTGCCTCTAGGCTGATTAAGTTTTCTTTTTCTTTTGTTTTAACTTATTTTATTTTTAATTTATGGAATAAAACAAGCATTTCTATAACATGATATAATAAAAAAGATGATTGCACATGAAACTGCAAATCTATTATGTACAACTTGCTATTCCTTTTAAATATATAATAAAGTTATCATGTAAATTTCTTTTTTCCTTTTTTTCTTCCCTCCCTCCCCCCACTCTAGAGATTGCCACCATTAGACACAAATAAGTACACACACACACACACACACACACACATATAATATTATTCTATACATACTTCTATTTATCAGTTCTTTCTCGGGATACAGATAGCATCTTTCTTCATATTTGCAGGGACATTACTGGCCTCTCTTCCAGACGACCGTACCACTTAGATATTTCTTATATCCTTTTTGCCTCAGCATGTAAATGACTCTGAGCCAGACCAAAATGCAAGCTAAGGTGGCAAGGGTATTGTTGTCCACTCCCCTAACCTTTATTATGCACATCCATCAGCAACAAAAATCCAGTTCCTTAAGTATTATATTTTGGCCAGTGAAAAACTTTTTCTCCATGAATTTTCCTCCCAGTAAAGAAAAGGAAAATCTTATCAAATTCCTTGCAGGGTACATATGTGAACATATATCATAAGCAACATAAACTTTTAAATAACATCCAATTTCATAGGTCATGCATTCACACTAGCACAACATACATCAGAGCATAATGTGAACATAATACATAACATAAAATCTATAGCGTACTTAATAGGGCAGGGTGGTACTTTGTAAAGAACGCTGACCTGGGAGTAGGTGAGATTTGAAACCAGGCCTCAGGAGACCCTTGAAACCAACCCTTGACTTGGGCAAGTTGCCTGACCCTCCCTGGGCCTCAGGTTCCTCAACAACTAGAGGACCTTTAAGGTTCTTTCTGATTCTTAATTAATATAGAGAATGAATGTTTTGGAAAGTCCTTTAGAGCTAGGAGAGTGTTTTTTACTTTCTTTAGCACAGTGCCTGGCACATGTAAACTTTAACAAATGTTTCTTGACTTACTGACTGCACAAGAAGAAATCCACTTAATTCCCCCAATAGACAAGAGGTGATTGTGATATATTTTATTCCTGCAGTTAACCTGTAGTCTAGAAATTTGTCCAATTTTTCACCTCGGTAGGGTATGGCTTTTCTTCTATCTACTATCTTGTGTGTTTCCTTTACATCAAGATTTCTTGGGCAGCTAGGTGGCACAGTGGATAGAGTACCAGCCCTGAAGTCAGGAGGACCTGAGTTCAAATCCAGCCTCAGACCAAACACTTGACACTTTACTAGCTGTGTGACCCTGGGCAAGTCACTTAACCCCAACTGTCTCACACACAAAAAAAAAAAAAGTAAGAAGATTTCTTTGCAGAACCCTTACCAAAGACCTTCATAATGAATTTAAGTATCTCACTGTCATGATTTCTATCAAAGCTAAGCCCATAGCTAGGCAATGAGGTTCCTTTAGCCTATTCCTCAGTTGAGAGTTGTACATTTCCTACATCTTCTGATGGTCGAAGTATTTAGCTGACAAATATAGTTCTTGCCCAGACACCACCAGGTGTTTAGAGATACCACTGAGCCTTCTACTCAAGCCTTAACATGCTCAGCAGCGTCTGATTGAAAAGCTCAATTTGGGGAGTTACTTGGAAAGTAATGAAGTGTGGTTCTAGATTTCTTTGTTTCTTCTAAAGTCTTCTGAAGTCAACACCTCCCTAAGGATTTTTCTTTCGAAGTCAAAGATTTTCGAAGATTCTAAAAAGGCATTGATATAGTAGTCAGTCAATAAGCATTGTCAAGTACCTACTATATGCCAAGTATTCTGTCAATTGCTAAAGATTCAAAGAGAAAAATGAGATGGTCTTTGCCCTCAGGGAGAAATGCTAGTCCTAAAACACCCTAGCTACTGTAGAAGTAGGATGGTTCCTTATTGGGTATACTTGTGCTCACAGAGTAAAATAGTCAGTGACCAATAGAATGTTGACTATAATTTTCTCGTCTTTTTCCAAGCTCCAACAGCTTGCTGGTCCTTACACTCTCCAAGCATGCTAAAAATTTTGGAAGTATTATGCTTTGAACATGTTGGGCACAAGTCCGACACTCCTCAGAGACCTCTGTTGCTATTTAGGGCCAGTAAAATTGTCACGTCCTTCATCATATAGTATCGTCACGGTAATAGAATCAATTGCCTTCTTGGGTGACAACAACTGCTTCTTTGTGGTGTGTGATCAGTTACAGACCGATGTGAGATGCTGTCTCTAGGGAATGGAGTTTGAGTCCATCAGAGTCACTCTCTCAGTTCATGGCTTGTGTTACTTTACATAGCCCACTTTCATGTAGCTACTCCAGTTCTCAGTCACCCAATGGAACCCAAGGCAAAGATTGGTGCAGTGCAACAAAGGTCATACCCACTGATGGCACACCCTATAAAAGGGGCCCCAAATTCTCAACTATATTTCCATTTGACTGACCCAGTTTCCTAAGTATCAAAGACCATTTTCACCCCATTCTAAGGCAATTACCCTAGCTTTGGACCCACATGGCCTACAGGGCACAGCATCTGTATCCAAATTGGTCTTTCCTATCCCTGGCCAAGGATGTGTCCTGAACATTCTGCTAGTGCCGCTACCAGGGCAGACAACACATAGATTGGCAACGGATAAAATATAGATTAATGGATAGTCATCTGTTTTAAACTTAAATTTAGCTCCATATACATAGTATCTAAACTTCAAAAGCAAGAATGCTAGTTTGAATATGGAATAATGTGTCTCACTGTAGATAAGTCCTCTACTTACAAATGCAGTGGGTTTCTGGTGACCTCACTCTCTTGGTAATAGATTGCTCCCTAGTATTCCAGGTGAACTTCAGAAAGAATCTGACAGCTCTATATTGGCTGGAGTTGGTGCATATCCAAGGCAGTTGACCAAATCCTTAAAAGTATATTCACATTTCTTTTCCAGTGATCTCCCAATGGTCTCAAAGGGGGTTGGGCCAATTGTCCAATGCTCACCCAACTGTTTTGGGTTCTTCCAAAATACATATCCAAGACTCCTATCATTGGCAGGCTTAATAGTCATAATTCAGTACTCTATAAAAAACTGATAATAGCCACTGAATCCTAGAAACACTTTGAGTTTGTAGAGATTCTCTAGCCAACCAGTAAGCACTTCTATAACCTATGGATCAATACTTACTGCATGTTGAGACTCTATGTGACCCACATATTTGATAGGGTCCCTGCATCAGTTCATTAACTGATGGTTTCAAACCAACTTCTTCTAGCTGATCTAACAGTTTCATTAAGTCAAGTCAATGAGTATTTATTAAGTGCTTACTATGTGCCAGATACTGTGTTATGAATACAAGCAGAAAAAAAATACAGCCCCTGCCCTCAAGGACCTTATAGTCCAATGGTGAGGGGAGAAACAATACCTAAAGGAGTGTTGGAAAGGAGAGGTGAAAAGGAAGGAACCCAAGCATGGTAAAGAAAGTCCAGATAGTCGGGAGTAGAATCTGAAGAGGAATAAATATATGTCTGTCCCTCAGCATTTTCATTAAAACAAAGGTTCTGGGAGGGACCAGCCAGAGGAAGGGGCTGAAGGGCTGGGGAGTACTTCCAGTATGAGAAATCCCTCATGAGAGTGAACTTTCAGAATAAAGAGGCATATGTGGCATCGTAGAGAAAGTCCAAAGAGTCAGGGGTGGATCCTGAAAGGGAATTAGTCTTTCTTGATGTTCCTCTAGTTTAGAGTTTTTCCAAAGACAATGACACCAATTAAGTACACCAGCACTTCAGGTGGTCCTACTACCTTCTCCATAACTGCTGAAATAAGAATATCAATTAAGATTCTTTGGGGGCATAGGCTCAAACTGTTAGAGTTTTCCTTGGAGAATAACAATTATCTTTTCCTTATCCTCCTCTGACATGGGAAGTCTGTCAAGAACTTCTATGTAAGTCCAGTACTAAAAGCCACTGGCTACTCAACAAACATTCCAGACCATGCTGAACTCATGGAATGATATACTATTCCAATTAGTTCTCTGGTTCAATGTCTATGCATATCTATGAAGATATTATTGACAAATAATTTGTGTGTGTGTTTGTGTGTGTGTGTGTGTGTGTGTGTGTGTGTGTGTGTATGTGTGGTGTTAGTGGAGTGAGGTTGTATGGTTCTGATGTCTTCCATATCTGAGAAGGCTATCTTTTGAAATCACTTTTTAAAGGACAGGTAATCATTAAGTTAGATTCTGTTCATCACACCTGAGGCAGACTCTTCATTACATTCACACAGTGAGAATGAATTGGTCTTTGCACTGAATTTCTTCCTCAAACGACCTTTTCATTCTTTAGGTTCTAGAGATGCTTCAGAGTCAAACTTTTCTGGATCTACTGTTGAGGTGGAGGAGTTGGTGCTACTTCGATGATCTAGCTACTCATATACATCCACATTTTTACAGATTTCTGCCTAGGGTCCATGGATTGTCAAGATGGCTAAAAATTGAGTTTCATTTTACTTCCCACAATGCTCTGCTAATACAGAATATCCCAAAAGTCTTCATGTATTTTAAGCTCAAAAAGCTTAGTGAGCTATTTAAGCTTGAATAGCTAAAACAGCACAACGATTTTTGAGACATCCTGTATTTTGGAGAGGCTAGGGTTGGCCTTGATTGATGCTGATACAACAGATATATTCACCTGGTTTAGACACAGCCTGGCTCAAAGCAGGCACTTTATATAAACTTGCTGGTTAATTGCTTAGTTTTGGAACTTAAAACTCATGATTGTTGTTGTTCAGTTGTTTTCAGTCATGTCCTACTCTTTGTGGCCCCATTTGACATTTTCTTAGCAAAGCTACTGGAGTGGTTTGCCATTTGCTTCTCTAGCTCATTTTACAAATGAGGAAACTAAGGCATACAGGGTTAAGTGACTTGCCCAGGTCACACAGCTAGTAAGTATTTAAGGCCAGACTTGAATCCAGGAAGATGAGTCTTCCTGACTCCAGGCCAAGGGCTCTATCCACTGCACCACCTAGC